TTTGGGGGGGGTTTGGGGAATCTGAAGGGTTTTGAGGGAATCCCAAATCAAGCGGGGGGAGTGAAACCTGAGAGGATGAAAGGCCGGGACCCCCTCCCCAAATGAGATTCCGCTGCTCTGGGGGTGGCTCCAGGCGGGATTTTGGGGGGGGGTCACTCACGGGTCCACACGCAGCTGTAGGTGCCCACCAGGCCCGTGACCACGCGGCTCGCCAGGGCCCAGCGCCGCGATGGCTCCGCCGGGAACGGCCACTGAACGAGCAGCGGCATCCTCGGGGGGGGAGGGGGGGGCACCGACCCCGGGACCCCCCCCGGGACCCCCCAAAAAAATCCCCAGGCCGCGCTGCCCGCCGCGCTGCCGTAAAGCGCGCCGGACGCCCCGCTGGCTGTCGTGCAACAAGCCGTCAAGCGAGGCGTTCTCTGAGTACCGCCGTGCTGGGGAATAAGGGAAGGCACGGGGGGGGATCCGGTGGTCACGGAGCCGCCTCGGAACCTCCGAAACCCTCCCGGGATCCCCCCAAAATTCCTTGGGGGCCCTCCCGGGACCACCGGCCCGCTGCCGTAAAGCGCGCCGCTCGTCCCGCTGCGCTGTCGCAAACTCGGCGGGCGGGAGGAGTCCTCCAGAGCAGACGAGAAGCGCCGGGACGCTCTGGTGATAACGTAACCATAAAGAGGCGCATAAACCTCGCCCCTTTTTGGCGATCGGCCAATCAGCGGTAGCCGCTGAAAGGCGGGAATTATAATAGTGGTGAATGGTCACGCCCCTCTTTCTCAAAACCAACCAATCACCTCCAAGACCACGCCCCCTCCCACCGCCCTCCGTCGCTAGGGAGACGCGCGCCGCCATTTGCCCGTGAGGCGGTGCCGCCGACACTTCCGGTCGGGCCCAGCCCAGCTCCCCCGGCCCAGCCCCGGCCTCGCGTTGCTCCGGAGGCGGAGGTGGAGCGGGACGCGCAGGTAAGATCTCCCCGCTGCGGTTTCTCCCCTTTTTTTCCCTTTTTTCCCCATTTCTCCCCTCAGCTCACGCCGCTGTTCCCCCCGCAGGGTCCCCCCGCGGCGGCCGCGGCCGCCATGGCCGCCGTGTGGCAGCAGGTGCTCGCCGTGGACGCCCGGTGAGCTCCGGGGGCCTTGAAAGGAATTTTTGGGGGGGAATTTCGGATACCTGGAGGCTTTTTTTGAGGGAGGGATGCCCCTACCTGAGTTTTTTCGGGTGGGGTTTCACACCTGGTGCCTTTGAGGGTGGGGGATGCTCATTCCTGGGTTTGTATTTTTGGAGGATTTCGGTACTTGGGGCGGTTTTTGGGGTGGAATTGTCACACCTGGGTGAGTTTTGGGCGTGGTTGTGACACCTGGGACAGGTTTGGAGTGGAATTGTGACACCTGGGTTTATTTTTGGGTGTGATTTTCATACCTGGGTCTGGTTTTGGGTGGAATTTTTCCCATTTTGGAGTGGAATTGGTTCATTTCTGGGTGGAATTTCTCTGGTTTTGGGTAGAATGAACCCCGTCTCTCACCTGTCCCTCACCTGTGTCTCACCTGTCCCTCACCTGTGGCAGGTAGGCGGCGCACCGCACGCCGCAGCTGCCGCAGTTCCGCTCTCCTGGGCCCATTTTTGGGGGGAATTTTTCCCATTTTGGGGTAGAATTAACTCCATTTCTCCCCTGTATCTCACCTGTATCTCACCTGTCCCAGGTACGCGGCGTACCGCACGCCGCAGCTGCCGCAGTTCCGCACTCAGTACGTGCGGCGGCGCTCGCAGCTGCTGCGGGAGCGCGCCCAGGGCGGGCACCTGGCAGGTGACGCTCGCCGCTGGTACCTGCGGCTGCGGGCGCGGCTCCTGGCCCAGCGCTACGGGGCCCTGTCAGAGCCGGGCAGCTGCCGCAGCAACCTGAGGGCCAGCAGGACCACGCTGGACCGCATGGAGGTACCTGGGGACACCTGAGATACACCTGGGATATACCTGGGGACACCTGAGATACACCTGAGATACACCTGGGGACACCTGGGGACACCTGAGATACACCTGAGCACACCTGGGGGACACCTGGGATACACCTGAGCAACACCTGGGATACACCTGAGCACATCTGGGGGGGTTTGGAACACACCTGGGATATACCTGGATACACCTGGGGGGCAGCTGGGGACCCCTGGGCACACCTGAGGGGCTCAGGACACACCTGGGGGCCACTGGACGATCCCAAAACTCCTTTTGGGGGGGTCCTGGGAGTCCCCGCAGCCGCTCTGGGGAGACTTTGGGGACCCCACCCCCATTTCAGGGAGCCCCATTTTTGGGAGCCCCCTCCCCAATTTTGGGTTTTCCCCCCCCAGGATTTCGAGGAGGACCCGCGGGGGTCCCGGGGCCACCGGCGCTCCCTGAGCCGCAGCTCCGGCCCGGGGGGGCTCCGGGGGGGCCC